ACATGAGAGTGAGAGAGGGAGAAAGGGAGGAGGAAAGAGAGGGGGAGGGAGGGCGGGAGAGAGGAAGAGAGAAACCTTCATCTGACTCAGCCTCCGCCTGATTTCCGGTCCCCCATGTGAGGGCTTGTGTAAACATGTTGTTGCGTGTTGTCCACATGTCCTGTCTGTGTTGTCCATACCTGTGGTATTAGCTTTCCCTCCTCACTCTCCCTTGAGGCTGTCCTGTCCTGGTTTCTGTCCTGAGGCTCCTCTGAAACCTTACTTCTAGGGCCCCAGGGACTTCTGCCTTGTGGATCCTCCCAGATATCCCTCAGGTGTTCACACCTGCTTCTTGGCGTGTTCTCTTCACTTGCTTTTTGCATTGTTCTGTTGTGGTCAGAATCCTTCCTTTCTGCCTGTTTTCCCCCAGGATCTAGGACAGTGCCTGACGTACAGCAGGTACCCGGAAGGGAAGCTTCCCAGAGTGTGTAAATGGAACTGTGTGACTCCCCTTCCCTCGGCCTCCCCAGCCTCCTAAAGTCATACTTCCTTCTCTCAAGGAAGAGGTGGGCAAGGAAGAACTGACAAGGAAGAAGAGGTGGGGAAGTACTGAACTGGGAACTGGTTTGGCTGGTGTGTGCAGGAAGCAGTGATGGAGAAACTAGAAACTACCTAGGAGCAGAGCCTCCAGCCTCCAAGCCAGGCCCTGAGACCAAAGGTATGACGAGTGAAATGAAGGATCCATTGTGTGCAGAATAGACAGGTGGAAGACTCGCTCCAGGAGAACTTGCTGGGGAAACTGAAGACTCTGAAGTGAGGTGGGTGTTTGACTACGAAAAGAAGGCACGTTGATCCAGAAGACCCCCGTGACCACAGAGAACATGCACACAGTTAGAGAGAAGTGGGTGTTTGTGTACTTTGCTCTGCTTCCTAGCAGGTGGGGGTGTCAACAAACCAGGTCTGGGGAGGTCCCCCCAAGAGGAGATGGGGGTCTGAACTCACCCGCAGGGTAGAATGATCTGGAGTTGGGGGTGCCTTCGTGATGGTAATCTATGATGTGCATTCCTACTGTGCCGGACTCTGAGGGCCTGAGAAGATCCCCAAAGCAGAAATGGGAAGCTAAATCCACCCTATCTGCAGACTAAGTTGCGGGTTCACTGAGTCCCATCATGGACAAAAAAAATGTCAAGACATATCACTGAGGGGCCTAAAGGGGATTATTTAACAGAAATTTTTAAAGTTCACACTCAAAGAAATAGAATGCAGACCCTTGAAAGGAAGGCACATGATAATCTGGGGCTGGATATATTTATGGGCTATTTAGGAGTGGAAATCTGTATAACTTGTGAATCTATGGAAAGAGGGGATTCAATGTATAGATGAAAGGTGACCGCTTTTTCAGGGGGTGACTGTGGATGCCCCATTCATAGGTGACAGCCATCACAGTTCTCACAAGTGTTACAGCTATAGCTCATCCATTGGGAAAGGCCTATTTTAAAGGTGAAAAGAGGTGTTCTATTCACAGGTAAAAGAGGGCCATTTACAGGTAAAAGGAATGGCCCAGGCTTATTGTATCTTGGGAGAAAAGAAAAATAAATTTTAAACTGGGCTTGTGTCCTGACAGTTTTTATTTTTAAAATTATGATTTTTCTTGTCTCCTTTTTACCTATCTTTATTTCTTCTGTTCTACCTCACTCCACCCCACCCCACACAGACACTTTGATCCTTTATTTGTATTAAGGGATGCATAGGGGCAGAAGTTCTATTTTCTTGTAACTGCTACAGGCTGAAGAGGTACTTGGCCCTACCTAGCCTGGGAACAAAAGTCTCATTTGTTGTTTGGTAAACCATCATCTTTTGATAGTCTGGAAAGGAGGACAAGAAGGTTAGTAAGGTGTAGTTTAAGCTTTATCTTATTGTTTAACATGATTTGTTAAACAATCAGGAGCCAAAAATTAAAAGTAGAATCTTGGTAAATAGTGATTCTAAAAAGCTGTACAAGTCAGAAAAAAATTAGGCAGTGTTTGGGATGAACCTTTTATTTTTAATATTAACCTCTATTTAGGGCCGGGGATTTAGCTCAGTGGTTCCGGCGCCTGCCTGGAAAGCGCAACGTCCAGAGTTCGATCCCCGGTACCAAAAAAAAAAAAAAAAATTAACCTCTATTTGTTTTGAAGTCTTTACCCAGATATAAGAAGTAGAGTTTAACAGGACACACATGTGTAAATACTGAATAGTTTCTCTAGTGTGAGAAACTGAAAGTGTAAATAAGGACTGAAAGGTATAATATAGATAATGTGAAATAGGAAGAAAAGGGGCAAAGGGGAAGGGGAAGTGGGAGGGCTAGGGGAAAGGATAGAAGGGAATGGAATTAATATGAGAAAATGAAAAAATGGAAACAAAGTCTTTGTAGATAGGGAGGGGTGGAGGGGTTGAAGGGAGGGCAGGGGAAGGGGGAAAAAATAAGAACCAAGAGAGTATGTAAAGGTGCAAATTTCCAGTGATGAATGTCATTATATTGTATACCTAAAATGTACCAATAAAAAAAAAAGTGGAGTTTAAGAGCATACACACTCCTGCCTGTTTTGTCAATAAGAAATCTAATATCCTTCTATTTTAATTATAACAATGAAGAAACACACTAAAGACATCTATGTTTTTGTGACCATTGGAGCATAAAATTTTTTACTATAGTGCTTAGAACCTGTATCTGGCCTCTATTTTGTATACTGGAAAACCTTTTATAGTGACTAGCTCTAGATAATATAAACATATAAAGTCTGGAGTAGATAACAGAAAGTTAGTTCATACCACAAAGGTAACAAAGCTTAGTAGCTGGAATATTTATGTTGTCATTTTTATTTTTGAGGCACACCTACACAAGAAACTAAATCTTTACGGGGGGGGGTGCGGTAGTTGAAAATACATTAAAATGGGAATGGGACTCTACTAAGAGGCTGAAGGACAAAGTTTTGGAAGGGCTAGTGGAACTGGGCTACAGGCCAGAATGCTATAGGTGCCTGCCAGTAGGGGCTGGTGTAGTGTTCAGCACCCCTTTTACATCTAGCCTTTTTGTTTTAATATTGCTAATGAAGCCAGGAGATAGGGGCATCTAGGCAGATAGGGCACAGGTCCTAAATAGTTAAAGTAAACTAAAAGTCAGGGCTAAGTAAATTACCATATCAAAACAGACCAGCAGGGTCTAATAAAATGCAAGAGACAAAAGAACAGATGCTGGGCCAGGGATTTAGCTCAGTGGCACCCCGCCTGCCTCGAAAGTGCAAGGTCCTGAGTTCTATCCCTGGTACCAAAACAAACAAACAAAAACAGATCCTTAAACAAATAGGAGAGACCTTGGAGTAAGTAAAATACAAATGAAGCAGTTTGCACTCCGGACATCAAAGGCCTACCAGGAGCATCCTTGCTTTCTGTAATTTACACCGGCCCCCAAAACTATAAAAGCCCAATAAACTTGGGCCAGGGATTTAGCTCAGTGGTTTCACTGCCTGCTGCGCAAGTGCAAGGACCCTAGTTCGATCCCCAGTACCAAAACAACCCCCCACAAAAAAAACCCCAATAAACTTAAACATCTACAGTGTCCACCTTACGGAACACCCCTCTCAGACTAGCAGAGAGCTTCTCTTTTATTCTTTCTACTGCACATTTGGCCATTCCCCACCACTTGTTGTTCGCTGTTTTGTTGACATCAATCTTCGTTGCCCCAAAACAGGCCCTGAGATCCCGTTACACTATTACTCTATATAAGTTTTGATTATACTTTCCTGCAGAGTGTTTAAGACCAAGTCAAAGTAAGACCTGTGTTAGTCAAAATCTTCCTTTCTTTCTGTATATGTCAAGGTCAGCAAAGGCTCCTCAGGGGCTACTTTTGGGGCCATGTGAGAAGCTTCTTAGCTCTAGTTTTTCTCCTCTTCCAATTGTGTCATCTGCCAGGATGAGTCACAGTCTTGCTTGACCTTATGGGTTTCTTTTTTTTTTTTTTTTGGTACCGGGGATCGAACTTGGGTCCTTGCCTTTGTGCAGTAGGTGGCGAAACCACTGAGTTAAATCCCCACCTTTATGGGTTTCTTTTGAAAAAAGAGTAGGTTAGGGAAAGAAAAAAAATAGAGAAATTAACTGGGCTTGTCCTAAAACTATAGTTTTTAAATTTAAAATTATAATTTTCCTTCCCTCCTTTTTATCTCTTTCTAGTTCTTTTTTCCTATCTCAAGGCCAGGCAGTGTTGGAATACAAAGCATTTGCATGTATTTGATGTTTAGAGGTCTGTTGCCCACTGGTAGCGCTGCTTCCTTGAGGAAGGAGGTCTGTGGGAAGAAATGCACGTCCCCAATTAACAGGGTTGTTATGTCTTTTAGATCCTGAGGGATTTTTTTTGGAGTGAGTTTCCTGGAATGGAAAAAGGTATTGTAACCTTGGGTAACTTTATGTCCTGAAGCTGCAGTTTTGCCTAAAAATACAATTTTTAAATGACCATTTTTCTTGTCTCCTTTCAGCCTATCTTTATTTCTTTTCTCCTGCCTCAGGAGGGCTAGTACTGTGCTGCCCTAAGCAGGAGAAGCCGCTGCTAGGGGCTAGGCCCTCCATCCTCTTCCAGGCACCAGCTCCACCCTCCACTTATTTTTTTAAAATGCAAATTGCTATGCTGGATTTCCTCTTTTTAAGGAAAAAAAACTCAACTATAAACTCGGGCTAGTCCTGTACTCCATCTTTTTATCCCAGGAGCGACCTCCCTCTCAGGCCTGGTTACCTCTGCCCTGCAGTGCAGGGTCGGGGTGTGGAGAGTATGGGGAAGTCCCCCTGACCACAGATGGTTTTCTGGCTCTGCCTGCGAGACTCAGCTTCCCTCCTGTTTTCTTTAGCAGGGCTGTGACCTTAGCACAGCATTGTGGGAGGCAATAAATTTGCTTAGCTAATACTTTTTGTTGGTCTGTCTCCCCAGGGCTCTTGGTGGCCTAGGCTTTTTGGTGAAAGAGAGAGGCAAAAGGGAAGACAAACTTTGTCTTAGCAGCTGACAGCCTGGCCAATTGGCTTTTGTCTTGGAGCTCCACTTCTGTTTCAAATAGATGTTTTAATTTTCGCTTTGTTTAGCAACCCTCCCATAGCCTTTCTGTGCTTCAGGGAAACTGTTGTCTTGATGAAAAGCTGCTTCAGCTCCAAACTGATAACTCCAGAAGGAACAGCCACCAGCCAGTCTGCACTGAGTTCAGGATCAGCACAAGAAGGAAAGTTTGACCTTGGTCTGGACCAGTCCATCCTTTTTGAGACCCTAAAATACAAGAAGATGGTTTAACATCCTGCCTAAGAATGTGGCCGCAGATGGTACCCAGGCTTGAGCTGTCTGCAGTGTTCAATTGTCCTACTTATTTTCCTGGGCAGGGCTTTGCTGGCACATCCTTATGGCTTGTTAGTGTGGAAAATGTTAAAGAGAGAAGTGCATGCAGTGGTTTCTGACTGGAGCTGGACTGCTGCTTACTGTCCAGGAGCACAGCCTGGGGGTCCTGGTTTTTATCAGAGCAGACTTAGAAGCCACTGCTGGTCCTGTTTGCCCCCTAGCTCTGTCCTGAGAACCAAGAGTCCCCAGGCCACATTTGCTCTGCTTTGGGGCAGGTGTCCAGTCCTAGGAAGCTTCTCAAGCAAGCAGCTCTTTGTCCTCTACCCACCCCTGGACCCTGGAGGTCTTCCAGGATCTCCTCAAGTCTCTGCATGGCCCCTGTTCTTTATTTATAGTTCTTCTCAGTCCACATGGCTTTTAGCAATCAAGATTAGTTTTATCATAACACATGTTAACACAGATAACTTTTCTCAGGTTACCAGGAAGATAGGACTAAAAGTCAACCCATAGTCAAGCTCTTTTGCAGAAAGGGACTCCTGGTCTGTTATCACTGGACACACGCACACCAGTCTAAGCTACCTCCTGCCCCTGCCTGAGGCCATAGTCAGGTTTCTAGGTGGTTTGTTCTTTCTCTTTGTCAGATTTTCAAATACAGATCCTATCCTCATTCTTGGCACCTTCAGTCTCCATATTGGTGACCCTGCTAAAGACCTTGACCTCCCCTCCAACACTGAGTGTGTCATGCCCACACCCTTGACCCTCTGTCATCTGACTCACTCTTCATCTCCCAATGCCACCCCCACCCTCATTACTGAGGATTGAATCCAGGTCCTTAATGCCGAGTTACATTCCCAGCCCTTTTTATTTTTTATTTTGAGACAGAGTCATGCAAAATTCTCTAGGCTGGGGTCAAACTTGGGATCCTCCTGCTTAAGTCACATGTGCCAACACCTGCTCCAGCTCCATCGTGTGAGCCACCCATCCCTCTGTTCCCCACTCCCTGTGATCTTTGTCCTAACTTCTCGACCCCTTCAACCTGTCACCTCTCACAGCTCTCCTCCCCCCAGGTCTTCTCTTCAGGGCAGAGACCAGCCCTGCCTGGTACCCCCACCCGGATCCCACCTGCTATGTGAGACAGTGGTATAAGGAGGGCTAGTGAAGTGGGTGGTAAAAAGGATTTACCACTAGACAAGGAATGTAGAAAAGACAAGAGTTTATTTTGGCTCTGGGGACACTGCCAAGGGGGATGGCCAGGGGCTCCAGGAACCCTACAGTCAGAGTGAGAAATTTTTTTTTTTTTTCTTTAATGAGGTTTTGAGGATATAGAAAAAGGGTCCAGGCAGCAAATGTGATTATCTAAAGAATGTCTTTTCTGGGCCAGGGATTTATCTCAGTGGTGCTGCCACTTGCCTCCTAAGCGCAAGGTTCTGAGTTCGATCCCCAGTACCAAAAAAAAAAAAAAAAGAATGTCTTTTCCTGTATCATTTAGCACCTGGTAGATCTTTCAGAAGCACTTGTATTGTATTTGGTATTATGTTTACAGCTGCAATTTTGATCAAACCACTTCCTTGGGCATTTAGTTTTAGATAAGAAGATGGTAAGGAAGTCTGTACTGTCTTTGGACTCTTTGGGTGGAACGAATGGACCTAACATCAAAAGGTTTGTTACGGGGCATGGTGGTTTGGGACAGGCCTGTAATTCCAGCTCTTCGGAGTCTGAGGCAGGAGGGTCACAGAGAGTTCTAGGTCAGCCTGAGCTGCATAGAGAGTGCAAGGCCAGCCTACAAACTACAAACTACAAAGTGAAACCCTGTCTCCAATGTAAACAAACAAAAGGTTTATTGCTGTCTTAATGACTGGTCTATCTAAGACGTCTTTAACTGGAGTTCCTTTGTTGCCCAGTGCTTTAATCAGAGTTCTGTGGCTTTAACCAGAGTTCGCTGTTAAGGGTTTTAGCCCTTCTGTTCTCAGTGAGCAGCCACTGCACCACCCACTTGGCCAGACCTCATCCCTGGTTAACTCCGATTGCCCATGTCCTCCCTGCCTCTATGGCTGGGAGAGTCTTTACTATGCAGACACGTGGTGTCTTACATCCCTGGGGTCCATGTGGCTCTTCAGTTGCAGTACTGTGTTCTGTTCCCTCCCACCTTCCCTGATGGCACTTCCACACCTGCCCCTCCTCGCTGTGCCCTTCCTCCTCCATCCCATCTTTTAGCTGGTCCCTGGCTTCTCTCAAGGCACCCACCAGCCCCCTGCACCACCGCTGCCATCCCACATCTTCTCCTACATGCTGTCCCTCCCTTCCTGCTCACCATGCTGACTGCCATGTTTAAGACCAGCCTCATCCACTAGATCCCACAAGCCTACTCAGGAGAGATTCTGGCAGCTCACCACCATCCCTGTCCCCTTCCCATGTTGGTTCTGACCTCTCTTGGACCATTTTCTACCAGCACAGTGCACCTGTCAGGGATCCACTTCCCTATCCTGCTCTACACACACATATACACATGTATACACACACACACACACACACACCTGCATACTCACACATGCACACAGAATTCCTCTGCATTTTCTTCTGCTGCTCTGTTCAGGGTTTTGCCCTCCACTTTCCTGGAGCTGCTCCTCTGGGCCACCAGTGTCCCTCAGTGACCAGCTTAGTCATATGTGGGCACAGCAGCTGCCTCTGCCCTCCCAGCCACTCCGGGTTCCTGGACATGCCCTCTTCCTCCTGCCTTCAGGGCCTGTTGTAGTCAGCAGGATTTGGCAAGGGAATACATTAAATACAGGACACGTAACTTATAAGATTATTTTATAAATACCCCAAAAGTCAAATGCAAAGAGTGCAAGAAATTAACCGCACACTAGAAACCCAAAGGATTCAACTGAGGGCCTAGATCCCAGCAGTTTCCCACACAAGTCCAGCCAAAGGTTTAGAGTCCAAGGCAGTGAACTCCTTGAGTCCAGCCAGTGGCCTAGAGCCCATGGCAATGTCTCATGCTTGTCCGTGTTGAGGATCTGCACCTGGAAGGCCTAAAGGCCAGTGGTGGAAGCCAGAAAATCTACACTGGTGAGATGGATTTGTGCCACCAAGCTGAGGGATTCACACTGGAGCCAGGAAGTGATGCTCACAGTAAAGATCAGAGCTCCCCTGATGAAAACAGCAGCCATTCCCAGGGACAGGTAGGCCCCAAGCTCCTCCTCCGGACGAGAACAGCCAAGTTTGCATTAGAAAAACCATCCAGCAAGCTTCTCCTAGAAAATCAACAGGCCAGGATCTTCCCCTCCAGTTCTCTTTTTATGGCTATTGGTAACAGTCTTCAGGTGGATCCTCCTCGCTGAGACTGCAGTGATTCAGTTCAGCTGGGTGTTACAAGTTGACCATTAGTCAATCCACCACAGGGCCCCATTCACATCTGAGTTTTCTTACTCTTCTTGGCCCTTCTCACTGTCCCTGACCTTCCAACACCCTGTGTCCAGAAGCCAGTGCCCTTCCCTGCTCAGGGGCTCTCCTCCAGCTCCACAATTTTAGACACTTCCTACTGGCCAGTGCCCAGTGGGACCTGGCTGGAATAGGTCTGTGTGCCTCTCACCACTTGGTGGCGTGGTGGCTATGTGATCCCCCACCCATCCTGCCATGGTATTATGGCTACTTTGTTTTTGAAACAGGCTCTCACCAAGTTGCCATGCTGGCCTTGAAGTTGCAGTCCTCTTGCTATAGCCTCACTATGGCTTCCCAGAGTGTTGAGATTACAGGCCTGTCCTACTAAGGCTGGAGGTTGCTGTGGTTTTTAACGTTCTTCTTTTTCTTTTTCTTCTCGGTACTGGGGATTGAACTCAGGACCTTGTGCTTTCCAGGCAGGCACAGTGCCACTGAGCTACATCCCCAGAGCCCTTGAGATGGGGTGGGTGGGAGTAGGGGGTGGTATAGCTCGGTGGTAGAACATTTGCCTGGAATAAGCAATGCCCTGGGTTCAGTACCCAGTACATACACGGATACGTGCATGCATGCATACATAGATATGTGAGTCTTATCTTTCAAAGCTTCGTACTGAAGTCTTATCTTTCAGACCTTACTGAAGTCTGCATCGATAGAATGATGCTGTGGCCGGGGTTTACTCAGAGGCATCTGGAACAGAGGTTTTCAGTCTCTGGCCTGTATCAGACTCCCCCAGGGCTTGTGACAGTGCACATTTTGGGCTCACACTCAGTGTGTCTGAGCTATAGGCCTGGATGGGGCCCAGTCATTTGTTTCCAGTGTTGATGCTGCTGGTATGAGGACCATATATATATAAATTTTTGTATTAAATTCTTTTATTGGTACATTGTAGGTATACAACACAATTACATTTCTCATTGGGAATTGTACCTTTACATAATGCACCTT